GGGACAGGTTTAGGATTGAAAGATAGCTTGCCTGTTTAAACCTTAACATCATAATATGATCTCGGATCATAAAATTGTTTTACTGGCATACATATATGTCACGTCGTGCAATATGGCGTAGTAATCTGATGAAAGTATAAATACAAAATATAGTGCCTGCGTTAATGGCTGAACATAAAACAGGGGTATATATTTTGAAGTTCAAGATAACTATCTGAACGGGAAACAATGTCTTACCTTAGGCTGAGGAATGATACATTAGCCTAACTGTCCTAAACCATTATAGCTCTTTCATTATCAGCTGCGGAATTAAAATGCTACTAAACATTATCTGGTGTAAGAATCTACGAGATGCTGAACAATGAATTCATAGGTTCATGAACAACGAGCTCACGTCGGTAGCCATCAAATTCGAAATCGGTTTAATTGCTCAAAGGGAAGCTTAACCAATCACCTGGGCCGACAAAGTGAACCAACTTCAAGGAAAATGTATTACAAATGGGGATTATTTAATGTACATAATCGGACGTGAGGTGCCTCTATACGCATAACACATTTTTCTTTCAAAACTAATTGTTTAAAAGCGTTTAAAAGGCATAATCTCAAATTATTTTTTTTCCAATTTCCATATGTTTCATTTGAAGGAACTGTTGAAAAGGAAGATAAATGTCAAGTTGACTGTCCGGTTCATGGGACACCTATTGAAAAGATAGCGACAAGGTGTGAAAATATGAACTGACACTCTCGCGAAATTGGTCCATGTGTTACATCCGTTAACGTCATCTCGTAAACGTGACTCTTTACATTTAATTTTATTAACACCTATTTAAATTTTCTATCCCAGGAAATATGATGAAGCGATGTGAAATCGAACCTGTATTTTTCGTATCATGAATCGATAAAAACGCTATATACTTTCTTTCTAGAATGATACACTCATTAGGTCACTTGAGGTCACTCGAGGTCACTATAATGCTGTGTCAACGACTGGGTGGCCCTGGAAATCTGGATACGTGTATATAAGGTTACAGACCAAGTACTGTGACGGCCACGCACTAGCAATGGTCTACAAGCTATATCGAAACTACATTTGCCAACGATGTCTTTGAAGACGTTGACGTCAACGTTCCGATATACCGCTCTTAGGTTATCCAGTTCAAATGTCGCAATGTATCGTGAACACTGCTTCAGCATCATGCCTATAGGACGATATAACGTCATGTAAGTGATGCATAGTTTAAAAGTAAACCTTGCAAGATGCACTGTTTTCTCTGAGTGAAGTTTAGAAATAATCCACAAATTATTGTTGTTGCCTGATAATACCCATGAGACACATGGAGTGCTTAGACACAATAATACGACTTGGATTTAAGGCGATTTACCAGTTTAAATGAAAGTTACAGATTCGTAGATTCGAAAATTGAAAACAGGTTTATAGTGTAATAGAGCAACTTTTTATTGCACTACATATATTCACATGAATGCATGCGTGTGATCCAGGTTAGAAATGATCTTCAGCAACTGATGCTTGTCGTAAGAGACGACTAACGGGATCGGATGGTCAGACTCGCATGCCATCGTATCCCAATTGGATGGATCGATGCTCATGATGTTAGTCACTGGATGGCCTGGTCCAAATTATTTACAGACCGCCGTCATATAGCTAGAATATTGCTGGGTGCGTGGAAGCACAAAAAGCATGTCTGTCTGTCTGTCTGTCTGCCTGCCTGTCTGCCTGTCTGTATGTCTGTCCCTCTGTCTTACCCTCTGTCTCTGTCAATCTGTCTGTCGGTATGAGATATTTATTCAGATACGAGTCAATTATAATTATTGGTTTGTCACAACTGTGTTAATCTTCGTGGTTTCTACATACATAGCAAACATTTATCCCTCCCCTTTCATATGTAGTTAATCTGATACAATGTGGTAAAAATAAAATATTGTTCAAAGTGGCGTAAAAACGCATTAATGCGTACACAGGACTATTTACTCATAATTGTTATTCTAGGTCACTGAAGTGACTCATCACTCGTTATTCTTTGAAATCTTTCTGTGGGAAAACAACCCTTTTTGTTATCAATGACAGTGAATAGGAAAATCATTGTACCCTATGTCGTATACACGATGACTCACATCTGAGGAATCCGCTTGAGGGATTCGTGTTGTGTTATTTTCTCAGAGAAGCGTCAGCTGTGGGTCTAAGACCGTTTACTGGTCAGCGCATCACGTGATATCCACACCACAATAATGCACATTGTCACAACTGCTGATAATGTCTCAGCCATCAGGTGATGTGAATGGGGTTTAACGTCGCGTTGCAGTAACATAGGGATGTGCACGTGTGTGTGTATGTGTGTGTGTGCACGCAAAAAAAGTTTGCATTACATCACAAATGCGTATAACGAATAAGAAATATCAGAACTGTACATGGCGCTGTCAGCTATGAATAACGCCACCAATGTACATACCTGTGCATACCGTCACAGTGAGTGAGTATGGTTTTACGCCGCTTTTAGCAATATTCAAGCAATATCACGTCGGGGGACACCAGAAATGGGCTTCACACATTGTACCCATGTCGGGAATCGAACCCGGGTCTTCGGCGTGACGAGCGAACGCTTTAACCACTAGGCTACCCGACCACCCCGCATAACGTCACAGCAGTGTGTACCGTCACACGTTTATAACGTCACCCAGCGTGTAGCATCATGCCTGTGCATTAGGACACAACAACGTATAACGTCGGCTGGTTGTGACATTATTGTGTATACCGCCGTCAGATACATATAAAGTCACAACTGTGTATAACATTGCAGCTCTGTATAACGTCATATGTGTGTATACCGCCGTCAGATGTGTACAATATTGCAACTTACGTCATAACCGTGTGTAAAATGTCTTACTTATGTATAACAGTGTCATATATGATGCATATAAAGTCACAACTGTGTATAACATTGCAGCTCTGTATAACGTCATATGTGTGTGATGTCTTACTTATGTAAAACATTGTCATATATGATGCATATAAAGTCACAACTGTGCATAACGTTTTAGTTATGCATAGCGTCATAATTGTGTGTACAACGTCATAAATAGTGTTTAAGGCCGTCAAATGTGTACAACGTTACATCTGTGAGTGACGTCACATATCTCTATTCTTCCACGCAACACACTCAGTCTGAGTATAAGCGTCAAAACTCTTTCCATAATCATAAGAAATGTAAGCTGAAAGCAGGGTCTAGTGTACGATTACGACTAGATCATATGCATGTTCTTATGAATCACTATCAAAGAGTGATGATGCTGAGTGTCTGCATGATAAACCCAAGTGTTGTCAAAGGGAAACATTTGATTATAACGCCACGATTGCGCTTTAACTTCGCGTTTGTTTATAACAATATGTTTGGCTTCAACGTTGCATTTTGCGATGTATTTTGGTAAGATGACACATATTGGATACATTTTAAAGGTCATAGAATATTATGCAGCCATTAGTATTTAGAAAAATAATCTTAAAGTAAGACTTTTGGAGAATGGCTTTCTTAATGCATGAAACTCAACGCTACCTGACAGCTGCATTCTATCGATGTTAAGAAGGTTTCTTAGCTATAGATGCACGTAAATGTCTCTAACACTGGAGTGAGTGAGTGTTTATGGTTTTACGCCGCTTTTAGCTATATTCCAGCAATATCACGTCGGGGGACACCAGAAATGGGCTTCACACATTGTACCCACGTCGGGAATCGAACCCGGATCTTCGGCGTGAGGAGCGAACGCTTTAACCACTAGGCTACCCGACCGCTCTCTCTAACACTGGAGAATGCATGACACTCAATGCTGTTTGACAGCTGAATTCTGTCGGTGTTAAGACATGTCTCGTACATGCACGTAAATGTCTCTAAAACTGCAGATGGGGAGATGTAAACACTGCAGATGCCCAGGTAAGTGGGAATTAATACAACTGTCAATGAAGTAAATGGTGCCAAGGTAAATCGGACATAAAATAGGTGTCAAAGAGGTAAAATGGAAACACTGCAGATGTCCAAGGTAAGTGGGAATTAATACAAATGTCAATGAAGTAAATGGTGCCAAGGTAAATCGGACATAAAATAGGTGTCAAAGAGGTAAAATGGAAACACTGCAGATGTCCAAGGTAAGTGGGAATTAATACAAATGTCAATGAAGTAAATGGTGCCTTGGTAAATCGGACATAATAGAGGTGTCAAAGAGGTAAAATGGAGACACTGCAGATGTCCAAGGTAAGTTGGAATTAATACAAATGCCAATGAAGTAAATGGTGCCTTGGTAAATCGGACATAATAGAGGTGTCAAAGAGGTAAAATGGAGACACTGCAGATGTCCAAGGTAAGTTGGAATTAATACAAATGCCAATGAAGTAAATGGTGCCTTGGTAAATCGGACATAATAGAGGTGTCAAAGAGGTAAAATGGAAACACTGCAGATGTCCAAGAGAATCTGGAGTCGAAAATTCTACAGACGTCCAAGGAGGGTTTGGAAACACGACAGCTACCCTTGAGTTGGAAAGAATTATAGGGCAAGAGTATGTGGCGGAATAGGGTTTTTCATTACACCGTTGGTATGATTGGTCGATTCTACTGCACCAAACACCAAACTGTTGGACTGGCTGATAGACGAAGGACGAGCACTTATCACAAATAAACATGATTGATAATTACGTCACAGAAATTGTGACGTAAGGTATTTCTGTAGGGTCAAATTCTGTACATAACATGAACACAGGAAGGGTAGGGTGGACTCGTGGTAAAGGCGTTTGCTCGTGACGCCGAAGGCCGCGGTACAAATCCCCATATGATTACAATATGCGAAGCCCATATCTGGTGTCCTCTGCCGTGATATTGCTCCAGTGCTGTTAAAAGCGGCGTAAAGACAAACACACCTTCTGTCAGGTACTCTTCATGGACAATAAGTTGTCCTTCATCTTTCTAAAGAAATTATAGGTAAAGAAACAACGATGCTCCATTAAATGGTGGTTTATTCTTTTCAAATGACAATATTTGCTATAATAAATAGTTACACATGAAAGCATAAAACAGACTTCAGGAGCATACATGATAAACACATGCGCGAACAATTAGTTATGTTGACTCTGCAACAAGCACGTGACTGCCTATACAAACGTGACGTCACTCTTAACGTAAATGCAATGTTTGGCGAAACCATTAAAGATTTACTTTGAAATACGTAAATCAGAATATTAAATGTTTCACTTGTCCAATATGTATCTCCCAAATTGCTTTCATTTGACATTGTAGAAGTTCAGGTATAAATATCCTTGGTGAATTACGCCATTGCGCGATCAGAAAACGTTTGACAAGGGAATGCACGGTCACGTGTTGACGTGTTATGTTTATATTGCTTTGAAAAGGATAGTTGACATGAGCTGTTAGTGAAGCGCTTCACGCTGCACATAAAAGTTACCTGAAGAGAGGAGTTTTGATGTCAATGAAAGCGTTTTGCATTCTATGTCTTCCACATGATGCTGATAAGACGGCATGTGATCATAACTCGAGGATTAACATCATCTGCAAACTGGATGATGTTTCTGTTACGTCTGTGTAACCAACATTTGTCCCATTTTGACAAATCAATAGAGTTCGAATCTATTAATATCTATATTACCGATTGTTTACATGTCAGATACATTCATACGTTTCTTATACTATAGACAGTTCAGCACTTGTACGAAGAAAGTAATTGAATTCATTATAAGGAAGTGGCATAATACGTGTTCCGGAAGGTATATATGAACATTCGTTAGACTCTCGGATGATTCCTTGTCATGTTGTGATCCATACCGATCCTCTTGCTTTACTGGGGTACTAACGGTCAGACCTGTGTTTTTCTGTGTATCGCGCGTGTTCCAAATCGGTGCTTTTGCTTCACCCCGACACGGACTGTCACTTCAGGGTATACCACCGTGTAGCAGGTGCCTCATCCCTGTAAAACAATGATAGCCTGTCATTGCACATACGTCACAGAAACATGATTTGTTTGTTTGTTTGTTTGTTTGTTTGTTGTTTAACGCTGCATTCAGCAATATTCCAGCTAAAGGACGGTGGTCGGTAAAAATTAGAGTCTGGACCAGTCAATCTAGTGATTGATAGCATGATCATCGATCCACGCAATTGGGATCGATGACATGCATCAACCTCGTCAGCGAGCCTTTTACGACAAGCATGGGTTGCTGAAGACCTATTCTATCCCGGGTTACAGAGACATGAAAAGGCACGTAGGGACATTCAAGACACGAGGAGCCAATAATTTGTGTTCTGTTTGGTACGACGGCTTCGGGGTCTATCTAGGGTTTATTCGGGCTCGCCAGTGTGGTAAGCGGGACGAACAAAAATCAGATCCGCAGATTCAGCATTTCAAAAATATAACTGTTTTCGTAAAATAAAGTCCAAATTATATATTATATTCTTTCGATATTGTTTCTGTGATTTAACTACAAATCACACTCTTTTCTCAGTGTTAAAAATTATTGTTGTACCCAAAACCCATTTCTATTCAGGACACCGGGTGTAAGAAATGTTTGTTTTTTTAAACCTGAGGCAAAATGATACTTTGATGGACACAATAATTAGCTCAGCATGTTTTACTCAAGCGAATCGAACCCAGGTCTTCGACGTGTTGAACAAACGCTTTAAGAACAAGGCTACCACACCACCCCGGGAACCAATAACGTGTTAAACCAGTAGTAAAGATGTATTACTTTCGTCTGGGTCAATTTCTATTTGGTAGCCTTGATGAGATCTTTTATCTCTCATAATTGAAATGTGTATGACAAGACAATCAGTATTAACATGTCAACCTACACGTACATCATCTGTGTGTGATAAGAGCGTGGAGAACGCGATGTATCAACCACAGCACGAGACATGCACCCCAGCCGACACTGTGACACGGTGTTATCAATGGAAACATTGCAATGTGTATGTACCTGGTGTCCTGCAGCATCCGTACTCAGCATCCCATCTCCAGGGAATGATAAACATCTAGCATCTACCATCGGCCCAGTTGTCATGTTACCCATACATTATACATATAACTTGTATCTATGCATTGTACATATACTTTATAAACTTGAAACAACTAAATAGCACTAGTCATTTCTATATGTGATTCATAGTATTTATACGTGATATTTTTCACCTTTGTCTTAGTACACTCACGCCACTAAATTCCACCTGATAATCATTCCGTCGTTAATTTTCTCGTGTTAACCATGTTACCCTCAAGTAATATATTTCAACATGTCAATCATGGTACCATTACACGATACGTTTCACCTGTTATTCATGATATCATTCCGTCGTTAATTTCCACGTGTAAACCATGTTACCCTCAAGTAATATATTTCAACATGTCAATCATGGTACCATTACACGATACGTTTCACCTGTTATTAATGATATCATTTCGTCGTTAATTTCCACGTGCTAGCCAGTGGCATGGTACACTCATGCAACATATATCCACATATCAATCATGGTGTTATTCTGTAGTTTCTATCCACAAGTTTCTCATAGGACACTCACGAAATATATTTCTAAATGTTAACCACTGTGTTATTACATTATATATTTCCACATGTCAAGTGTTAAATTGTAAATGGCATATCTCTACAATCTTATCACAACATCAGGAACTGGCTGACCAATTAAGTTTATTTTACTCGTCAGTTTATTCATAATTTTTCAACATAAATATTAAATATATTTATCAAATAAATATGCTTTCATACAACATCAGGGACTGACTGACCAATTAAGTTTATTTTACTCGTCAGTTTATTCATAATTTTTCAACATAAATATTAAATATATTTATCAAATAAATATGCTTTCATACAACATCAGGGACTGACTGACCAATGAAGTTTATTTTACTCGTCAGTTTATTCATAATTTTTCAGCATCAATATTAAATATATTTATCAAATAAATATGCTTTCATATGGAACTACAATATTTCTGAACAATCTGGAAAAACGTAATATTTAAAACTATTCTCCAAGCTGATTATTCCTCATTATTCACATCATCCCATACAAAACCTATAGATGGTATGAGGGTGGCGCCATCGACAGCACTATAGTATACCTGTGCTGGTATAAGAGATGTGATCAGCAGCATGTAGCAAGTCAGGACTGTGGAGCTCCGCCACCATAGAGATAACGCAAGCACACATACCGGCAGTGGAGGCTGGTGGTTCGAGCAGCACGAGGGACAGCTGATGAACGTGCCACTACAAACAAACAAATCAGAGAGATATTAATTCGCATTGACAAAATATTATGAAGTGGGTACATCTATTTACATTAAGAATGTGCATGCACTGAAAGAATCCCAATGGTAATATACAGAAAAGTCAAAATTCACAATGACCGTAATTGTTCACAGCCAGAGTCTGATTAAACTGTATGCGCTGTTCCGTTTATTATAAGTTTCCCTACCGTACACTGGTTATTATAAATAACAAGCATATAACAGTCATATCCCCCGCCAATATGACATGTCCGGTTGTGTGGAGCGCTAACGACATTTTCAGTCTAAGTCAAAGTCGTTGCCTTGGAAATTCGAAATTTTTTCAAAAAACCCAAACTATCAAAAGGCACAATTCTACACAAGACCTTAGACTTACATCTAGTCTCTGAAATGAACATATCGTACAGAAAATAAGTTGTCAAATTATCTTAATAAAAAATTAATAAAAAGGAGCCCAGAGACTCTCTTCATATTCAGATACTGTAGAAATCTAGACTTGCCAAACATTATAGACTCGCATGGCCTGTAACTGATATATTTGTATCAGGTTCTGTAAGACAGACTGCACTAGACCTATATAGGTGCCAAGTTTGGTTAAGATATCTCTCATGTTGTTTTTTTTAGTTCTGCTCCGAAAACGAAACGAAGGACGGACAACATCCATTCCTATATCCCCTTCCACTTCGTGGCGGGGATAATAATTCGCAGTTAAAAATCATGTGAAAATTATCTGGTATTTCTTGACCCTCTTTATACGTGCAGTGAAGCAGACCCGTGTCACAGTGTGGCTATCGACTGCATGTGTGGTACGTGCAGTCTGATTGATACATATGACAATGTGACAGAGGGTTATCGCCGTCGTATGATCTCCTGCCATCTGTACACTTCTTACAGATACTACAGAGATATCTCCAAATTAGGATGTGATACTACCTGACCTCCCATGTGTAACGTGCTATGTGTGCAATACTCAATACTGGACACTGGTATGATCAGTGCGAAAAGGTTTCGGAAAAAGTGATAGCTCATTGCACATTATACGGAAAAAGATTGCGTTTGGTACTAGGAATATTAGTCTAGTGTTAAAATGATTTAGATTTAGATGTTTTAGAATAGGTCTGCAGCAACCCATCCTAGTCGAAAGAGGTGACTAACGGGGTCGGGTAAGGCTCGCTGACTTGGTTGATGCATGGTATCGCATCCCAATTGCGTAAACAGATGCTCATGGTGCTCACTGGATTGTCTGGCCCAAACTCGATTATTTTGAGAATGCCGTCATACAGCTCGAATGTTGCAGAATGCAGCGTTAAACAAGAAACAACGAATAGTATGCTTAAAAAAGGAGTGGTGGTGTGTTGTGTGTGTGTGCGGGGACTCTGAATACGCGCATGTATTATAGAGGTACAATACTGGGGACAGTTGGCAGTCCAAGCAACTTTAAATGAACTTAAAAAAATATTGCAATTGTCTGAAACTCAGGGTTTTATCGTTTACTTTAACCTTACCATAAATGAGTACCATCATCACATGCAGACAGGTTGGTGGTACACAGGGCATTAATCACAGAATTTTAAAGCTACATTCGGGACACGACAGTTGAGACTTATACTCGTATTACACGTATTCACAAAAAAAGATATTGGCTGACGTTGGTTGAAAACATATCGTCCATACTGGATGCTTCCCAATCTTTGACAGGCATATAGAGCTTCCAAGGACATTGATCACACGACGTGTTTATGCATATTGACTTCACTATTTGCAAGGACGTTTCAGGACTTCTTGCCCGTTCATCAGCCCTGACACGTCTTTACAAACAATAGAAAAGTCGTTATCCATCAAAAGTGTCATGTCTTCAGGTTAGTTTCATGTCAAACACATACATCCAAACTCAACGCAGTTGATACATGATGTTACTATCATTGTATCATTGCGATATTCAGTTTGCAAATATATATTTCCAGGATTCAAAGATCCTGAAAACTGGATTGACTAAAAAATTTAATTTTTTTTATCAAAACGTTGCTAGCCTGAACATTACAAACTGAAGTCCAAACCACACCTATGATACCCGTATAAAAAACATCACCATAGAATAACAATGTCTTGTTTCTTTTTCATTTTAACCACCATCAAACAAGGGTATATACCTTTTTACACCCGGTAGTTTAGATTCAGCTGAATCGTCGCTGTACAGATCATTGACGAATGAATGAGGATGCAATGAATGCTCGGAAGATAGCAGATTGAATGCCTGGCGTGATAGAAGATCCCTATCTAGATGTAAGAATGCGACAATACGTTAGGTATCTGTGATAGACGTGAGGACATCACATCTGTGTTACCGGCCTATCTGCACACGGCTATTGTGGACAGCGATGAGTCAACTGAAGATGACGGCCAGATTAGTTCAAGTATTTGCACTGTGACGCTTATCAGAATGAGTAGTATGATTATGAAATGGGTTTTGTCGCTTGTATTTAATGATAATCCTCCTATGTCTCCGAAAGAAACAATTTGAAGTTTTTAAAATATGTGAACATGAAATATTTTTATGAAAGGTATAATATACATACCTTGATATTGGAAGACGCTCAAGGAACAGCCACCCGTGCTTGTATAGAATCCAGTAGTATAGCATAAATGACGTCATTTTGTGACGTCAGTGAATGACGTCATGTTGTGACGAAACTTTGATCTGATGTCGGCACAGCATTAGGAAACAGAGAGTTCCAATGACATCACAGCACACAGCAGGCGTACTACACAAGCAGGACATCGAACATCGAACACCGTTTCAAGATATTCACAGAAAATATAAGTTGCGGATGTTATCGGATGAAAAGTCCATCCAGCCTATTGTTTGTATAAAGCATACATACAACTGAGTATTACTTATGATAAGAAGGAAAAGTGTGTTCCGAGAAAATAAACATAATACACGATACTTTCATCACAGTCGCTTTCACACCCTTTCATTCGTTTACGTCATGATGACGTCATGGTTAGAGCTATGACGTCACGTCCATAAGTTCATCATGCATACTAATAGTAGTATGGTTATAGAGTCCCTGGGCCATTAAATGTAATGCTAAAGGATTCTTCACTCCACTTGCTTTCTTGATCTTTGCCCGTTTGTTCTGGAACCAGATCTTGATTTGAGCTTCCGTGAGTGACAGAGACAAAGCCAGTTCTTTTCTCCGTTGTTCTGTGAGATACCGGCAGTCTTCAAACTCCTTCTTCAGACGTTGGAGTTGATCATTTGTGAACGCTGTCCTTGGGCGCTTGTCTTCTTGTTGTTGCTGTTGCTGCTGTTGCTGTTCCTGTTGCTGTTCCTGTCTCTCTCGCTTCTTCGTCTTCCTGGATCGAGGACCTTCAAAGAATATAAAATTAGCACAATCAAGCCCGGATACAGCTTTTTGGAAAGGAGGATGCACAGCCTTTTGTAATATAATGGGGGAGGTGGGGAGGGACTGCACTTACATATTTAAAAAAATATTTGACATATATGTATAATCCACGAAACAATTTCCGTTTGCAAGCTAGCAAATGCTCATTCTATCCTAAATTTGCTGGAAACATGTCACTAAACTATTAATGTTTATTTAAATATTACTTTAATAATGCAGTTATTGCGTTGCTTAGCACATATCGGTAATTCATTCTATATGTTACCCCTCTTTTCTGCACCAGGATCCTATGATAATGGGTTGATAAGTGTTTGTCAGAATCATACGGTGCTGGTGGGTTTCTACAAACTGATAAACGTTACGATATGTATCACCTTCAGCCTTTCCAAAAGAAAGTGATATAACTAAAATGTTCTTCAAAACGACGTTACATCGAACTCACTCACTCTAAATAATTACCATATGTTCTGAAAAGAACTTCGTGCAGAAAAGCAAAGACCCCAAAGGGCAAAAATATTGAGCTCGGAATGTCAGAAGAATTTTAGCATGAATAATAAAGTCAGTAATACTTCTTTGGAATTGGAAGTGTGATGGTAAAACAAACTATTTGCTAAACACTGACATTGTTTCCGGTTTGTTAAATACGCTACGACAGTAAAGACCTCTTGATCTAAAAAATATTTCAGTTTGCAATCTATTTACAGACATATTCACAAAGCTGTTTTGAAGGTTGTTGGAAGGACTAGTGATTAAAACATTTGCTCGTCACAGTGAAGATCAGCGTCAGATCGCCTTTGTTCTTGTGTCCACGGTCGTAATAACTGGGACATTGCAAAAAGATACATTTACCCGTACTAATTCAATGACTCAAGTTGTTTTAAAGGAAAATGAATCCTTTGTACGCCCACATTCTTGAACAAACTTCATTTTCCAGCATATATGTCAAAAGCAAACGTATAATAACTCCATTGTCAGACATTGCATGTGACATTGTTCTGAAGCTCAATGTAGTTCTTTATTAGCCAGACATGTTGAAAAATGAGTGGAGCTGTCATAGGAAATGTGATATCGCGGGGGAGTAGAAGCAGTCTAAATACATTAGTGTGTGTTTGGTGGAACAATCCACGCAGTACACGGTGTCAGAAGATATACCTGCTTAAAGTATTAGTAGAATAGACGGAAGACTGTATGAAAGCTCTCGCAGGGGGAGATAATGCCTTGATAATCAGCGATTTGGGCCTGAGTGTACATGATTCGTCCATCAGAGTGACCCGGATTTAACCCTTGCCAATTAGAACACCCTACCTAAGCTAGTCATTTTTCATGCGTTGTACTTTCTTGACAATTGATCTTCGATATTAACCTCACGTCAAGGCTGCAGTCAGACTAATTTTCTGAGTCAATTTTCCCATCCAGATTTGCAAGCCCGACTACGGGAAGGGGTGCTAATCTAGCACCTCGTACCCAAATCAGGTGTCTCTACAGATTGGAGAGGCAAGTGGACAAATGGGGCTGGTTTACGACCGTCCCGCCAGTATTGACCGCTTTAATTACAGCCTATCGTCATCAATTTTGCTTCGGTTCAGGCCTCAACCGACGCCCCGTCTCGCACAGAAATAAGTTGGTGTGAAAGTAGTACTTCCTCCGATTGTCTTCAGCCCGACTTGCGACTTAATAATCGAGCAGCTTAACTAATTTGGTCATTAAAGCCAGGACGGGGGCTAATAGGCTAAGCAGTTGACTAATCTATTATTTCTGATTGCCTATAATATGACCGACTCTAATTACACCTACGTCAGGGCTGCTTTGCAGTTCCCATTAATCTTTGGTACACGGTAGCACCACAAAACAAAGCGGCTTCCCAAAGTGACGGAGGACAAACGCTATGGTTTGCCTCAACTATGGCGGTGAACTTTGATTTATTCTACCCGCACCCACAAGACCGAAAACAATTTGTTAATCTCCTCGGAGGAAACATTAAGTTAACGGCACAGTAATAGTTCCCTTAAGACTTCGTTTAACAAGCCTTTATTAGAATGTATTGACTCGGTCTGCCCTCTAAAACACACGCCTTATCGCAACGATTGGGGCCAAGTTCTAGTTTAGATTTAAATGGACTATAGTTAGTGACGATTGAAGTCAACAATCAAATCAAGCAAGAGCGGAAGATGCTCTGATTGCGTCTGTCTGTTTCCCACGTGCAGGGAAACAGAAGAAGATATTTGCAATGAGTAGACGTGTACTGATACACATCTCCTGGCGCAGATACGTTGTAGCCTCTCCTACCAGCTGATGACTGCGCACATTAATTTACGGTATGCCAAAAGAATAGATTAACTTACACATCGCATTTTAACAGTTTCGAATTTATCCGTTCTATATATCGATGTATTTGTGTTTTGTTGTGCTGTGTCAATCGTTATAAGTCCAGGAGAATACAATACAACAATACAAATATATAAAAACACTATTGTTATTTAATTCCAAGTTCACACAACCTCTTATCTCAAGTCTGTAATGATCACAATATGTGAACAGTTTGAAAGAAGACGTGGAGAATGGACCACGGTGATACAATATTTGTCTTTTACACTATTTCACATCGGTGGATGCAGGTGATATTATAGTTAAACAGTCAATATTTCAGATTCTTCCTCTCATTATGAAAAATCTTTTGAAGTTATGCTATTAGTATTAATCGATTTGTGTGATTGTGGTTATTTTTTGTGTTATAAAAAAGACATTTCTTTTATTTGTGTGAATACATGCCCTGTATTTAGTTAACGTATTAATATGTCATGATTTCTATTATTATTACTATTTTTGATGATGATGATGATGATGATGATGATGATGATGATGATGATGATGATACCCGCCCAATGTCAGTGAAAAGATTGGGAGGTACCAAACCTTAGGCACAAAGAACAATGGGGAGTCGGACAACTTGGAACTTGGATTATTGTATATTATTGCCTCCGACGATAACATGTCCGCATTTAGCATCGTGGGATCAAACTACCGTTGAGTTGGGGCAAAACAAATGTTATTTCTGATTAATTAACGTTAACACAGCAATGAAATCGAGGTACAGCGTGACTCTTTTAAAAAATAAGAGCACGTACACTTGGTGCAACGTGATATAGCGCCTCGGATATATATATAACAAAGTCCAATATTTCTGAGTGTACCTGTCAATATGTTACAAATTAATACGATGACGATAGACGTTGATGGATTGAATGAATAAACAGTGAAATAATAAAGAGACGCACGTAAGAAAAATATTCAAGGCTTTAATTAGAGGAAAAACTATATAATTATTAATTACACTGATGTGCATAAAATCATTTCAACGGCAATAAATGACAATTGGAAGAGGGGTAACCTGGCCTGTAAAAGGATGATGTGGCTCACCGTATCATAAATTCAGCACTCGCCCAGCTCTAATGTTGATATAGTAATTGATAAAATCAATGGTGAACTTTTAGTTAAACTCGGTAATGCAAATATCCAATAACGAGACACGTGCAAGTCACACGAGAGGTAACAGTCTGAATTAAATCCCCAGACTGGAAAGTGGCACTATATATGTTCGACTCTGGTTCAATCCAATGCTATCAACTGCGCGACATGTGTGTAAACTAAATTGAAATAGTGATTGTGTTATGAATAATGCCGCGTCTATCCTACTCTTTCAAGAATATCTTTATGTCGAACATGACCAACTGATTGATACCTTATCATCCTGGTTGCTGTTACTGCATTCACGTGGCTTTGATTAATGGAAGCATGTGTAACCGAGTTTAAAGAAAATAAAACGTGCACGAGTCTGTAGCGCAGGACACTACGTGAGTGATCTATGGTAGCATTTGGTCATTATCAAAAGAGTGCTGAAGAGATCTGACGTCTATGTTAGCATTTTGTCATTATCAAAATAGTGCTGAAGAGTAAGGCTTAACAAATAAAGTAGCATTTTATCATCGTTGTAGGATAGACTATATATTGTCTATATAATAAAAGTGCCCTCACGTTGCATATTGCCTATATTATAGAATGGTGATGAGTGTTATGTACGTCCTCGTGTCGTATACAAATGTATAGTGGCATTTACTCTACTCTCCTCATAGCATTGTGTCATTATTATACAATAACTGATGACTGTTTAACCCATGGGTGTTCTTCGCATTGTTATAGGAATAATGACGCCGATTTGAATTTAGAAATATATTGTAATTAATATAGGAAAACAAAGAAAAGTTTAGGTGGCATATTGTCATTATATGATTGTGAAGGAAGTATGTTGTCATTATATGAATGTGAAGGAAGTATGTTGTCATAATATGATTGCGAAGGAAGTATATTGTCATTATATGAATGTGAAGGAAGTATATTGTCATTATATGAATGTGAAGGAAGTATATTGTCATTATATCAATGTGAAGGAAGTATATTGTCATTATATGAATGTGAAGAAAGTATATTGTCATTATATGAAAATGGAGGAAGTATGTTGTCATTATATGATTGCGAAGGAAGTATATTGTCATTATATGAATGTGAAGGAAGTATATTGTCATTATATGAATGTGAAGGAAGTATATTGTCATTATATGAATGTGAAGGAAGTTTGTTGTCATTATATGAATGTGAAGGAAGTATATTGTCATTATATCAATGTGAAGGAAGTATATTGTCATTTTATGAAAATGGAGGAAGTATGATGTCATTATATGAATGTGAAGGAAGTATATTGTCATTATATGAATGTGAAGGAAGTATATTGTCATTTTATGAATGTGAAGGAAGTATATTGTCATTATATGAATGTGAAGGAAGTATATTGTCATTATATGAATGCGAAGGAAGTATGTTGTCATAATATGATTGCGAAGGACGTATATTGTCATTTTATGAATGTGAAGGAAGTATATTGTCATTATATCAATGTGAAGGAAGTATG